GAAACTATTCCAGTGAGCCACAGATAATTATGAGAAAGGCTTTTTTAGTTATGCATAGTAACTTTTATAAAAGCATTATCTATAGATGATGCTTACATAGATTTTATATTGTCTTTTATGGTATTTAATGTGGTTATGCAACTTTTTAGGGAATTAGAGTTTAGGAGGGCAGACTTAAATGCTGTGATTTATCAGTGTTTTAACAATGTTGGAACATTGTGGAATTGTGCCTCCCTTCTCATTACAGAGGCTCAGAATCAAATTTGCTTCTGTGTATCAGTATGTAATACATTTCTTAATCGGACTTAAAGTTACTTTTGACTCGTCATATTTCCCTCAGATATTAGTTTTATTACTTTAATGTAATAAAGCTATGATTGTTAAAGTGATTGGAGCTTTTAATTCACTTGGAATTTCCCTTGCAGCCTATGGACCCCCTAATGTTGTGCATTGATTTGATTTTATGGCTGTTCTCAGTATTACAGATTTATGGAGGTTAAGTGACTTGTCCAAGGAAATAGTCCATGAAAGCTGGGACAGAACCCAGTTATTTGTGTTTAGTTTTCAGTAAGTGTGGATGATTTTCATTTCTTCTTTCATTCATATATTTATTCATTCATAAAAATTTTATTGGGACCTATTATGTACCATATGCTCTTCTAGCCACTGGGGGAGGAGGGTGTATGAATAAACAAACCTGACAAGGATCTCTATCCTTGTGGAGCTTACATTCCAGTGGGATGTAGAGGAGACAATGGTAAATATGTGAATTTTGTAGTAAGATGAGAAAAAAAAAATGGAGCAAGTAAGGGCAGTGGGAATATAATTTCAAACCTTTGGGGATGAAAAAAGGAGTTAATCTTTCAAATTTTTCTATCAAGGTATTATGTCAAGATTGTATGTTATAAATCATGTCAAGATAATATGCTTTATTCTAAACCTTTCTAACTTGGTAGCTCTGAACAGTATACTTTTTTCCCCCTCTCTTCCCACTAGTCCAAGAATCAATGCTATAAAGAATGGCTATATTGGGCCAGGGATTTAGCTCAGCAGTTCGGTGGCCCACCTTGCAAGTGCAAGGACCCAAGTTCAATCCCTGGTATCAAAAAAAAAAAAAAAAAAAAAA